ATCTTCCACCAAATAACCCGACCGGCAGTCTCGTCTCGGTCTGACTGAGATGGATGGCGGCTCCGGAAAGAGCTCCGCTCCGAAAATGGCCCGTAGGCAAAAGGGGCATCCAAACAGGCCGTTTGGTGGGGCGGCCATTTTTGAAAGCAGGAAAAACAACAATGGAATCATCCAAACTGAAAGCTGGATCTGTGATTGGGAGTTTCCTGCTGTCCCTGTGTTCCTACTCTGCTATTACTCTGCATAGTCTTATTGCTATCATAACTACTATCGTTATCATTAGTCTCAATATCATCCATTATATGTGTTACTGTAGGCTGCCTCTCTCTCTTTCTCTCTCTCTTGCCCTCTCTTTCCCTCACCCTCAACCGGCCGAGGCAGATGCCCCCCCCCAACCCTGAGCCATGGTTCTGCTCCAGGTTTCTGCCTGTTAAAAGGAAGTTTTGCCTTCCCTGTGTCGCCTAGTGCTTGCTCATGGAGGGAATTGTTGGGTTTCTGTAATTAGCTTCAGAGTAGGGTCTGACCTGCTCTGTTTGGAAAGCGCTGTGAGATAACTGTTGTTGGGATGTGGCGCTATAGAAATAAAATTGAATTGAATTGAATTAACCGGGGATATGGAGAGGTGGGGGTCTCAGAAAGATTCGGCCTCACGTCGGCATTGGTCAAATTAAAGCTTTTTTGGCTGTTTTTTGGCACACAAAAACACACACAGATGGCTCTGGCTGACGTCAGGTTGTCGACTGTCTAAAGTCCATCCATCCATCCATTATCAATACCGCTTATTCCCTGATGGGGTCGCGGGGGGAACTGGAGCCTATCCCAGTGGTCAACGGGCGAGAGGCAGGGTACACCCTGGACAGTCCGCCAGTCCATCGCAGGGCCACACAGAGACACATAAGGACAAACAACCACTCACACTCACATTCACTCCTAAGGGCAATTTCCCCAATCTCCAATCAACCTAACATGCAGGTTTTTGGACTGTGGGAGGAAGCCGGAGAACCCGGAGAGAACCCACGCAGACACATGCAAACTCCACCCAGAAAGGTCCTGGTTCCCCCGGGATTCGAACCCAGAACCCTCTTGCTGGGTGGCGACAGTGCTAACCACCACACCACCGTGCCGCCCCCTGTCTAAAGTCTTCACTTTTATTCTGTTTTCATGCTGAATATGTACTCATTTCCAATGAAAAATAAGAAAATAAACAAGAAAAACCATCGGAAATGGCTATCAGCCAAACCACCGAGGGGTCCGGATCCTTTTTTCCCCATTGCTGGTTACTCCTAAACCAGAGTTTTTAATATTTTATCCCCTTTAGAGTGCGCGTCCTCTCATTTGGGGCACCTTTGGGGGCTTTTTTTTGTGTTATTCTGGCTTTTCTCCCCTTCAGAATCAGAATCAGAATCAGAATCAGAATCAGGTTTATTGCCAAGTAGGTTTTCAGACTTACAAGGAATTTGCCTTGGTGTTTAGTGCACAACACAACACTTCTATGAGAAGCAAGAATAAAAAGTAAAAATAAAGATATAGGGCAGAATGATAAAACTGAAAAATACAATCTTTAAAAGTATAAATCTGAATGTACAAATTAACAATCTTTAAAAATATAGATTTGAATGTGCAAATTAACAGTTGAAATGTGCAATGTAGATCTGCAACGACAGACCAGAAAATGCTGGAGCATTGGGTAAAATTAGTGAGGTAGAGGGGGGGGGGAGAAGAATAGGTGGGGGTCGCTGGTCTTGTTGATGAGGCCAGTTGCTGTTGGATAAAAACTGTCTTTATGGCGTGAGGTTTTGGTCCTGATGGTCCTCAACCTTCTGCCAGAGGGGAGAGTTTTAAAGAGTTTGTGACCAGGGTGAGAAGGATCAGACATGATCCTTCCTGCACGCCTTAAAGTCCTGGAGGCGTACAGGTCCTGAAGGGATGGCAGATCACAGCCAATCACCTTCTCGGCTGAGCGAATGATACGCTGCAGTCGGCCCTTGTCCTTAGCGGTGGCAGCAGCGTACCAGATGGAGATGGAGGAGGTGAGGATGGACTCAATGATGGCTGTGTAGAAGTGCACCATCATTGCCTTGGGCAGGTTGAACTTCTTCAGCTGCCGCAGGAAGAACATCCTCTGCTGTGCTTTCTTTGTGAGGGATCTGATGTTCAGCTCCCACTTGAGGTCCTGGGTTATTGTGATCCCCAGGAAACAGAAGGACTCCACAGAAGCAATTGTGGAGCCACACAGAGTGATGGGAGCAGGTGGTGCTGTGTTCTTCCTGAAGTCTACAACCATCTCCTCTGTCTTGAGCGCGTTGAGCTCCAGGTTGTTGGCTGCACACCAGGACACCAGACGGTCGATCTCCCACCTGTAGGCGGACTCGTCCCCATGTGAGATGAGTCCGATGAGGGTCGTGTCATCCGCATACTTCAGGAGCTTGACAGACTGGTGGCTGGAGGTGCAGCTGTTGGTGTACAGGGAGAAGAGTAGGGGGGAGAGAACACAGCCCTGGGGGGATCCAGTGCTGATGGTCCGGCTGTTGGAGGTGTGGCTTCCCAGCCTCACATGCTGCCTCCTGTCAGATAGGAAGTCGGTGATCCATCTGCAGGTGGGGTCAGGCACACCCAGCTGGGAGAGCTTGTCCTGGAGTAGAGGGGGGATGATGGTGTTGAAGGCGGAGCTAAAATCCACAAACAGGATCCTGGCGTAGGTGGCCGGGGAGTCCAGGTGCTGGAGGATGAAGTGGAGAGCCAGGTTGACAGCGTCATCTACAGACCTGTTGGCTCTGTAGGCAAACTGCAGTGGGTCCAGGTGTGGGTCTGAGATGTCTTTCAGGTGGGCAAGGACAAGGCGCTCAAATACCTTCATCACCACGGAGGTCAGGGCGACAGGTCTGTAGTCATTGAGGCCTGAGATCTTTGGTTTTTTGGGGACGGGGATGATGGTGGAGGTTTTGAAGCAGGCGGGCACATGGCATGTCTCCAGCGAGGTGTTGAAGATGTCAGTGAACACAGGAGACAGCTGGTCTGCGCAGTGCTTCAGGATGCTAGGAGAGATAGAGTCGGGTCCAGCTGCTTTGCGTGGTTTTTGTTTCCTGAATAGTCTGGATACGTCCCTCTCCTGGATGGAGAGAGTCATGGTAGTTGACGAAAGGGGGTCCTTCAATGTGGGCAGTTGAGGGTGGGGGCAGGCCCCCGCTGAGGTGGGGATGGGGGTGCAGGAGGGCAGGGGCTGGTGGTGGCGGGGGATGGTGTTGATGTTGATGTTAGGACTGTCCCATTGTCTTTCAAATCTGCAGTAGAAGTCGTTCAGCTCGTTTGCCAGACGCAGGTCGTTGACAGAGTGGGGGGATTTAGGTTTGTAGTTGGTGATCTGCCTGAGCCCCTTCCAGACAGATGCAGAGTCGTTGGCTGAGAACTGTTTTTTGAGATTCTCAGAGTACAGCCGTTTAGCGTCCCTCACCGCCTTGCTAAACCTGTACTTTGACTCCTTAAACCTGTCCCTGTCCCCGCTCCTGAATGCCTCTTCCTTCTGCAGCCTCAGCTGTCTGAGTTTAGGACTGAACCAGGGTTTGTCGTTGTTGTAGCTCACCCTGGTGCGTGATGGTATGCAGCAGTCCTCACAGAAACTGATATAAGAAGTCACAGTCTCTGTGTACTCATCCAGACTGGTGGTGGCAGTCCTGAAAACATCCCAGTCAGTAGTCTCCAAACACGCCTTAAGATCCTCCACAGCCTCACTGCTCCACTGCTTTGATGTCCTCACAGCTGGTTTACAGAGTTTGAGTTTCTGTCTGTATGCAGGAATCAGATGGACCATGACGTGGTCAGAGTGGCCCAGTGCAGCGCGGGGGACGGCGTGATAAGCGTTGCTGATGGTGGTGTAACAGTGATCCAAAATATTGTCCTCTCTGGTCGGACATTTTATAAGTTGTCTGTATTTTGGGAGTTCGTGGGTGAGGTTACCTTTGTTAAAGTCGCCGAGGACAATAACTAAAGAGTCCGGGAATGTCTGCTCCACACGCAGTATCTGGTCGGCGAGCGTGCGCTGTGCGTCCTGCACGTTGGTCTGCGGTGGGATGTAAACACCGGCCAGAATGAATGAGGCGAACTCACGGGGCGAGTAAAAGGGTTTGCAGTTGATGAAAAAAGTTTCCAGATCAGGAGAGCAGTGCTGCTGAATCACTGTCACATCGTTACACCAGCCACTGTTGGTGTAAAAGCAGATTCCACCACCTTTAGTCTTGCCGGAGAGTTCCGTGTTACGATCCGCTCTGAAGAGTTGGAAGCCTGCCAGCTGCAGCGCAGAGTCCGGTATCGATCCACATAACCACGTCTCCGTAAAACACAAAACTGCAGATGTGGCGCAGTCTCGGCGTTTCCCCATCAGCAGCTGGAGTTCATCAATTTTGTTGGACAGTGAGCGCACATTGGAGAGGAATATGCCCGGCAGCGGTGTGCGGTGACCGCGCTGACGGAGACGCACAAGCGCACCGGCACGTTTCCCCCTCCGCCGGCGTTTCGCTGCGAGGGCAAGGGCGAGGGCACCTCTGGTGAGGAAAACCAATAAATCGGCAGAATGGTCGAAAAAAGTGGGAAACAAATCCGTAGGAGTTGTTTCCCTGATGTTCAGGAGCTGTTCCCTAGTGAAGGGTATTCGGAAACTATCGCAAAAAACAGGGTAAAAAGACAAAATAAAACAAAATAATGCGCACCAAACCACCGTGGCGGCCTTCTGCGGCGCCATCTTGGAGTGGTCTGGATAAAGAAACCCGAGGCCAGAAAAGGCAGAGGAAATATAGAACAGTGTTTTTCAACCTTTTTTGCGCCAAGGTAAATTTTTTCATTGAAAAAAATCTCGAGGCACACCACCAACTAAATATGTTAAACAAATCTGTAGTAACCTATAGTAACACTATAGTTATTCTTATCTTATCTTAAGTGTCTTGAATAGGAATTAAATAAACACAAAAATGTATTTTTATCATATTTTATATTTCTTCTTTCAAATTGCACTTAACATGTCCACTTCAATATACAAAATTATATACAAAATCTAGTCATAAGGAATTATTACATGATTACGCCACCAGTCACAGACACTCAAAAATTATTTGCAGATAATGAATTCCTTATCAAAAAATCTTTTTAGACCAATTAGGTGAAATAGGATGATTTTCTACAGTGTGCCGCGGCACAGTGGTTGAAAAACACTGATATAGAAGAACCAGTCCGGGTTTTCTGAGCCCCAAAACCTGTCAGCTGGTCTGAAAGATGTTGCCAGAACTTTCCCAAACTCTCGTGTATGTACGAGGCCATTAATGCCATTCCTGTTAGCACTTAGACAGGAGGAAGTGGAGACTCATCAATATTCTGCAGGTGGGCTATGGAAAGTCTTCTAATGGTTCCTGACCAGGAAGATGACGGCCCCCCGGGCCCGAGTGGAGATCAAAGTCCCATTTTCCAGCCTTTAGAGATCCTGTCCAGTTAAGTTCAGCTTCAAAACTCCCATCAGACCGGAAGACCTGCCGGATTTGGGCCGATATTGTTTTTCAAGCAGGTTTTTTGTAGGGGGTCACTGAGCTGGAATTGTCCTGTTTTGTGGCTCAAAACCACAAACTGGACTCGTTTTTTATGTGGATCCTTTTCATTCCGTTATGTTTTATTCATCCAAGCGGGTTACTTCTCGTCCGAATGACTCCATGAAATTGTAAGCGGGGCTCAGCTGGCCCGGCAAACTTCTATATTTAATTTATCCACACCCTAAAATCCTAACAGTCGGATGCTTGATTGTTTTCTGTGTTCCTTTGTGTTATTTCATCCCATAAATGGATTTTTACAGACTGTAATTCTATATGGAGTTCCCACAAACAGCTGTATCTTCATTTTAAGACTCCAGATAAATTTTATTGGATTATTAGCATGGTTGTTATGTTTTTCCAGTTTAATCTTTGCTCCATAACGAGGCGGACACGGATGATTCCTTTCGTCCCTCCCTTTTTAAAAAAAATGTTATTGGTGTTTCTGATGGTGAACGTCAGGCCGCCTTCCCTATTTGTTTTGTGGCCTGAATAAATCTCATGGAGGAGGCCCAGGCTTTGGCTTTGGCACTTTCTGTGGGATGGCGCTAGCTTTGCAGAGACAGGTGTGGAGGTTTTCTGCAAACTGTTTACTTATTAAAGCCTGGGCTAATGGATTTCGAATGTATTTTCTCGTGTATGCAACTTTTTCAAGCAGCCCGAGCAATCAATTCTAATCCGACATGAGATAAACGGAATACGTAATTGAATGATACTGTTTCCACGTGACCGCATAGGGCGGCTCACATGGCATTTTTCAGTCTGGGGAGCTTTAATCGGAATGACATTTTCTATATGTGGACGAGACAAGATAGATATAAACGATTGATCGGCTGCTTGAACGTCCCCGGAGGAAACGTCCCCATGCTCCTCCGCCATAGAAGACAAACCGGATAATAGCTTAGGGTCACGTGGAGCCTGAACGCAGCACGGGGAAAAAAAAAAACCCAGCCTGTACTGATAACGTTGCTCTTTTTTTTCTGTTAAATGTGGAATTTTTGCAGTGTTACGTCCCCTGCCCCACCAGTGGAAGGGAGGAGAGAACCTGACACCCTTAATAAAGCCGAGTCTTTGTAAAGCGAAAAAATAAGGTTTATTGGTCTCCCAAAAGACAAAGAAGGTTCGACAACTGTGGGGGAGAAGGGGGCCGTTAGGTTGTGCCAAATCAAAGAAATCAGCTAAACTAAACAGGGCCTAGCTAACAGTACCTTTGAAGAAAGCAAAAGAGAAGAAAACCCTGCCACTCTGAGCTAATTAAGATTCATAATAATACAAGCGTGGCACCAACCTACTTACCTAGGATATCTAACAGGAATTCACCTGTGTGATGAAGGTGTACAGGGTACCCCGACTTACCTATCCCACAATCTCCCACCAGAAAACCTTCAAACAAGCTGGCACAATGATAATCCAGACTCCCAAAGAAGGCAGGTCCTGCCATTAAAAGGCCCCCCCTGGGCCTACAGGTGAGCTGCCTTTATTCAATTCAATTTTCAATTCAATTTTATTTATATAGCGCCACATCCCAACAACAGTCATCTCACAGCGCTTTCCAAACAGAGCAGGTCAGACCCTACTCTGAAGTTAATTACAGAAACCCAACAATTCCCACCATGAGCAAGCACTAGGCGACACAGGCAAGGAAAAACTTCCTTTTAACAGGCAGAAACCTGGAGCAGAACCATGGCTCATGCTGCCTGGCCAGCTCCTGCCCACTCAGGCTAAAGTGTTCCCAGCTGCCAGCTACCTGGGAAGGAAACAAAAGGGGAAGGGGGGAGGAAAACAAAAACAGTCCGCCTGGACATGTAACAAGGAGCCTGACGGTATAAAGGAGCATTGACCCTTTAAAGCCTGATCCAAGAATAAAACAAAACAGAAAATTACTTTTTTTTGGTTTGAAGTTCTTTATTTGGCCTTTTAACAAAATATGTAAAAAGAAAAAACAGAATTACATTTTTAATATTAATAATTTATTACTATGCGATAAGTCAAGATTATTTTTTGTGTAGTCTTCTGCCCCCTGTTATCAGGTATATCTGATTGTGTAGTTTTTACCATTAGATTATGCAAAAGGTGTCAGACGCAAAACATTTCAGAAACCGTATGTATCAAATATTATACATTTGGCATTACAGGGTTAAGGAAAAATCTGAGTGCGCGAACAGCTGCCTGAAACCAGAGTGGAGGAAGCTTTATGCTCCTCTGATGTCATTTGTTTCCCCGGCAGACTTCAAATGTTCCCTTTTTTTAAACCGTTTTGCATTTCAAATGCCTGCGCGGGGCGCTTGGAGGACAGTTTTCCTTCAGCTGAGAACAAAACCCTCATGCTCATCACCCTCTGACGGAGCTCAAACCTCCAAGCGCTGCAGAATCAGCCACCGGCTTTTTAGCATTCTCGGCCATCAGTGGTTTTTCCCCCACAGATATCTATTTCTCATTGCTGCGTATTGCCGGTGAAAGCCTCCTTCTTTTCCCCCCCTTTTTTTTTAGCAATGACATACCAGTGATCCGTAGATAGGCTGAGAAGTGTTTCCCCGAAACCCTTCTATTTGTGGACGGCCTTCTCAACCAGCTGAGCCAAAGCTGCCCTTAACTTGCTCAAAGGGAAAGGGGAAATTCGGTAGCTGTAGTAGACCGGTAGTAGTGTAAAGTTCGGTTAATTCAGTAGTTCATATAGTTATATTTGATTTAATTCACGACTTCATCTTTGAGATATTTAGTAAATAACTTTAGACTTTTACACATGCTCTGATAGTATCAAGGAGTGGATCCTGGAGGGAGGACTCAGGCGCGGATAGGCAGAAAACAGGGTTTATTGTAACAAAAAACAGGTTAAAAAACAGGGCTGTGGCAAAACTATGAGCAAAGTAACAAAGCAAGGTTAACAAAACTGTGGCAAAGTATCAAAACAAGACTGTGGTAAAAGTACAAACAAGATTAACATGGAAGTGGTCAAAACAAGGCTATGGCAAAGTAGCAAAATAAAGATTAACAAAACTGTGGCAAGGCTGTGGCAAAACATGGCTATGGGAAAGGGCAAATAATCAAAACCTTACAGGACGTGGGGAGACGAAAAACGAGAGACGAAAGACAAAAACGCACTGGCACAGGACATGGTAATCGGGAACTATTTAAACACATGAGGGAGGGGAACCCCAGGTGTACACAATAGGTAATCAAGACATGACGAAACACCAGACGTGACAGATAGGCCGGGATTGGGATCGAATCGGAAGTGAAAATAGCTGGATCGGGTCATCCCTAGACCTGAGCCTCCTCAGGCCCTTGTGGTAAACGGTGTTGGTGGACCAGGGACATGCATGGACCATCTCCGTACCTTGCCCAGGTTGAGGGTGTAAACAAATTAAAGAAAATACAAAGCTCAAGAGAAAATCAGAATCAGAATCAGAATCAGAATCAGAATCAAGTTTATTGCCAAGTAGGTTTTTAGACTTACAAGGAATTTGCCTTGGTGTTTAGTGCACAACACCACACTTCTATTAGAAGCAAGAAATAAAAATATAGGACAGAAATGATAAAACTGAAAAATACAATCTTTAAAAATATAGATCTGAATGTACAAATGAACAATCTTTAAAAAATATAGATCCAAATGTACAAATGAACAATTGAAATGTGCAATGTTGATCTGCAACGACAGACCAGAAAATGCTGAAAGCATTGGGTAAATTAGTGAGGTAGAGGGGGGGTGGGAGAAGAATAGGTGGGGG